CAGAGAGCCTTGACTTCTTCAGAGAAGAGTTATTTAAAGGCAGAGTGAGGAGCAAGCACTACACAGAAAGGAGGAGAGCTGAAGATGCTGACACTCAGCACATACAGAGGCAGCAACAAGCTTGTCAAGCACTGCAAAAAGGAGGATCTATTATGTTTTATGCCTCCCCCCCAAAAAAAAAAAAAATGAAGAGTTTCAAGAAGCTGAAGAGAGCACAGACTGGAGAAAACCTATTTAAAGGAAGACCAGAAGGTCAACTGAGAAGATAAGGGATGCATATGCCAGGAAATTCCCTTGAGGAGACTTATAGGAGAAAAGAAACAAGAGGTCTTATTCTGTATTGTGCAGAAAATGGAGCAGTGCCCATAAAAAGATCAGAATTCCATGAACAGGAAGGCAAATCCATCCATCCATCCATCCATCCATCCCTCCCCCCTGCTGACTGACCCCTGTGCTGAGCTCTGCCTGCAGGGGATCAGGGTTTGGGTGACCCCAGGCTGGACCCCACAACTGCCTCCTTCCAGGACTGGGATGAACGAAGAGGAAAATGCCCAAGAACTTGGGGAGCAAACAGAGAGTGCCCTGAGCTCTGCTGGGCACCCCCTCCCACCTTCTCTGTGTTTCCAGCAGGCTGAGCTGGGGGAGCTCCAGTTTCCACCTCCCATCCCCGGGGCTGCACTGAGCCCCACACAGGACCTGAACCCCGGCCAAGGCCGAGCACAGAGTGTGTTTTATGCCAGGCTGCAGGTCAAGGATGTGCTCTAAAAATCATCTAAAAGCAGCTTCCCTGGTGCTGAGCCCCAGGAGTGCCCCGTGAGGAACTGCTGTGTCTGCTGGGAACGTGCAGGGCAATGAACTGAACCTGCAGGGCCTCGATAAACACGGGCAGAGCAGGAAACCAGCACAACCCCGGGGTGAGCAACACTCCACCTCAATAACACACTGCACTTGTCTGAGCTGTGTAAAGGCTCCTCTGCAGCAACAGGATCTGTGTGAAGGGAGGGAACTGCCAAGGGAGAGCAGCAGACGATGCACCTCGAGGAACACATCGTGTGTCGTGTCCCTGTCAAACATGCTGCTGTAAAAACATCCCTCTAATGGACAAGCTGCTCTTCCCTTCACGGATTTCTGCAGGGTGTTCCCCAAACCACGGGCTGTGTGTGATGGGCAGGGTCAGCCCTGCTGAGGAGTCACAGATCCTCAAGGTGTGGCTCCAGCAAACCCAACATTCAGCTCCACATTTTCTGGGGGAACTCAGCCCTCCCTTCCCTCTCATCCTCATCCTGCCAGTGAAGAGCAGAACCCCTTCCCCTGAAACAGTCCCAGCAATGCAGGGGGGGCTCAGAGAGCCCAGCCCGAGTCCCCCCCTGGCAGCACAACCACGCCCAGAGCAGGGGGATCCCTCTGGGAGCTCAGCTCATCCCAGGAGGATCCCTCACTGCTCCCCAGGGCACACAGGGAGCCAAAGGAGGCCTCTGCTGCACACAATTAATAAACATCTCCGTGGGGAGAAGCTGCTGGGGGACCGAGAGCCAGAACTGACTCTTCCCCAGGCCAACTCCACATCAATAGTGAGAGGAATGGCTCTGGTCCCACAGAGCCCGTGCCAGCAGAGACTCTGTTAGATTTGAATCAACACTTGCCACAGCAGGGGATTTTCAGCTGTTCTATTTAAATGCTGAATTTTCTTTTTTATTTCGATGCTTAACTCATAAAAACTGAATTTATTTGGGTTGGGTGCTGATGCCTGCAAGCACAGCTGCTCACCAGCTCTCTCTGCTTGCTATGTAAATGCATGAGAAGAGGATTCAAAACCTTTTTTGTCTGCCCAGCACGAGGATTTGGGCTTTCTTTCTCTCTTAGTGCTGTAAGTGATGCACCCAGAGAGCCCCAAACTCCCAGTACCCTCCCAAGGCAGAGGTGTGCACAATGGTCTTGTATTCTCATCTCCAGAATTAAACCCCTGCTGCTCCCTGTTTGTAATCCCTGGATTGTTTGCTTTCACTGGCATGTTATTCAGCTTAAAGACTATTTACTAAACTGAGCCGTGGGGGCAGAGCAGCCACGGTGTCACAGGAGCTTCCAATTCCTGGGAAATTCACTGACCCACGCCAAGTTTTAAGCCATTGACACTTTAAAATCATTTAAACTACGGATCCAGACCTTTAATGCATCCTCTCCTAACTCTCTTTATACCTCCTGTGTGCAGAAATGAACACATTTAAGCAGATTTAATCTGGGTGTTCTCATTGCTGCTGGTGAGGAGATGTGAGAGCCTCACTCCTCTTGAGTTTTGTTTCTCTCAACAAAACTTCATCAGGAGGAATTCTCTGCAGAGAATCACCTCCCTGGGAGGGCTGATCTCCATCCCTGTGTCCTCCCACCCCACAAATAACTGACTCCATTAAAGGATCAGCCCTGAGAGGCACCACTGGCCTGTGCTGACACCTCGGGGGGCTCAGAGCTGGCCCCCAGTGCTGCTGCTCAGCTAAAAACCTTCTCCTGCCCAAAGGCACAGCGAGGGCATGGACACACCTGGGAAATGCTGATGGGTTTGAAAACAGCACCTCTGCCCCCCCCAAGGACTGCTGAGAGCCCCTCACTGGGCTTCAGACAAGCAGTGGCTAAAATCACCAGGTGAGAGTGACTGAAGATGTGGAAAGGAACAGTGGGAAAGAAAAGTTTCTCCCTCCTGGGGAGGTAATTCCAAGGAAACTGTGTCAGCCATCCCTAGGAAATATCCCTGCCTTCCACTTCTTCAGGACTAATGACAGGAATTTTCAGATTAAGCCATGGGGTAGATGAAGAACATTCACTTTCAGTGTTTCCAGCCTCAGGTTTAAGAAATCTTCAGCTCCCCCAAGATCCAGAAAAACAATTCCAGGCACGAAGATTTATACCCTTGGCAGTGGGGCAGGTTCACATGAACAACTGGGCTGAACTGAGGTTCCACTCCAGTTTTAGGTTCCCCTGTCCCAGCCCTTCCCAGCCTCTGCCAGGAATACCTGGATTAACAAGGGATGGTGGCAAACACAGGGAATGGGTTTGGGTTTTGGGGAAACAACATTCCTGAGCTCATACACTTGATGGAATAATCCAACCCTTCCCAAGGGACTCAGACACACTGGGAACACAGGAGGGGCTGGAATCTGGGATCCCTTTGTTTTCAGTTCCCATTTCCAGGCCCGTGCCCAGTGTGGATTAAACAAACAAACAACCACAACCCACAATTAGCATCCACTTTGCATCTAATGAAACACAAGACAAGCTCCTTTGTCCAGAGTTATTTCAAGCCTTGTGTTTTCATCCAGGGCTCCATCCAAACTCTAATGAAATAAATTCCTGGCTCAGAACCAGGGGGTTTGTTGCCAGCACTGGGGTTGAAACCTCCTGCACTTCTGAGCACCCCCAGAACAATCCCTGAGTGGGGTTTGGGGCTGTCTCAGCCCTTTCTCACCCCTGGGTTTAACAGGGCAGGTTGTCCTTTCACTGGAAGGTACCAGCAGAGTTTAGAACCTCGAGCTCAGTGTCCCAGCCCAGAGCCAGGACTGGTTTAACCTGGACCCACTGAATTATTTCCAGCAGCCTCTTTACCTTGATGGGCCCAGAATTAGCCTGAGCCTTTATGGGAAATGTTATTGGCCAAAGCAAATATGACCTGGTGAGATTTACAGGCTTTATTAGCAGCAATAACAAGTTTACTGTCAACATCAGTATGTCAGGGTTTATTGGGAACTCCACCATTTTTATCTGCAGAAAGCAATTAAAATATCACTCTTCCATCGGATATAATTCCCAACTTCCACAGAAGACAGAGCCCCTGTTTATCTGGGGAGTGTAAAGCTGTGTAGTTCAACAAATCCTGAAATTCTCAGTGAAACTCAAACAGACCAAGGATGTTTAGGCACCTCTGGAAGTTTGTTTTGTCTACGAAACAGATCCATTTACCAGAGCACACATTCTGTAATTCTGGCAATTCTCTGTAACACAACATCCACTTTTCCAGAAACACTAAACACAAGTAAAAATAACACAGCTGAGGGGAAGGTGGGAGCAGAAACCTGAATGCCAGGGTACAGCACATCAGAAACCTGGACACAAATTCATCCTCATTTCCAACTCACTTTCCTCTGGGGCTGTACCATTTCCACCTCACTGGCAGTGCCTTTGCACCCCTTTCTGCTGCATTTCTCCTCTTTATTTTCAGTGACATCTGCCCAACACTCTCCTCCTTGGCTAAGAGACACACATTTCTCTGGAGTTTATTTTCTCTTGCTCCTATTGTTCCCTCAATTAGAACAAACCCCAGTGATGGTGGAAATAAGGGGCAAAAATAACTTCTGAGCGAACCTATTTGTCTTCCTCAGAAGCTGTTGAAGAGCCTGCAGAGTGCAATTAGAAACACAATGTTTTCTTGTTGTTTTTAAAGCCTCTGTAGCAGATTTTTAACCACGACCCACTTAGAACATCTCCCTGCCAGAACAGCCTGGCCGTGGCCATTTTAAGGCATCCCCATTAGTTTCCTGTTAAGATTCAACTCCCATGACAAAAAACATGTTTAAAGCTAAGCAAAAACCCACCAAATTATTCTCTGCAGCAGATTTTCCCTTCTCCAGCAACAATTCATCATAATATTTTTAGGTTTGCCTTTTCCCTTTGGTTTTTTTTTTTTACTTTTCAAGGAGAAAAGCAACCCCTGAGAAAACGAGCCGAAAAATCTGTTTTCGGTTCGGAAGCACGAAAACACCAGAGATTGTCTCAAAACCTGGATTTCTCAGCAAACTCTCCCGGGTTTGGGTAGAGAGCTGAGCCCTTCTGCTCCTCCCCTGTCCCCCCCAAAGCCTCACCTCGGCCGCAGGGACCCCCTCAGGGGGTCGGCAGTGCAGGACAATCATCCCCTCGATGGGAACCTCCTTCCCCTGCGGGTCCTGCTCAAAGTTCTTCCTCAGATCTGCAGGATTTAAAGCAGGAACTCGTCAGAATCCATCACCCCTCCAAAGGACACTCCTGCCCCGAGAGCCCTGTGCTGGCTGCAGGGTGAGCCTGTCCTCAGATAACCAAGTGTTCCTAATTCCTGCCCAGATCCCATCACCTCTAGCTGTGTTCCCATTTCTCCACCTTTCCAAACCCACCCGAGTGCAGACACCACCCGTGCCAGAACCCCCCTCCCCGTGTTCCAGCTGGGCCTGAAATCCCAGTGTGGCTCCACCTGCTCCTGCTCACTCCGAGCTGGACTCAAATTGTCATTTTGGGGGGTTGGGAAATCACAGAGCGGAGAAAAGTCAATAAAAATTCAATTCAGATAAAGGCCCTTTGCAGCTCAGCAGTGCAGGGGAATTATTAGCTCAGTGTTATGACAGTTAATGCAGTGAAATAAAAAATTGAATTTAGAGCTATTTAGACATTCAAACAGAATCAGCCAGCAACAAAAAAAAAAATAATCTGCCATTTGTAAAATGGAGGAGTTGTCACATTGTCCTTTTTACTTCTCTCAGATGTTTACTTCGTCCTGTTAAATGTTTATCTTGTTAAAAGACACCATTTTAGATTTATCAAGAATTGCTGGAACACCACCTGGGAGGTTACCCTTCAGAGTTTCTCATTTGGACCTCCCCAGCCTTCTCCTGCTGCCCTCACCTCCTCCCAGGAACCATTTCTCCCTCCTGTTGCCTCATTTCCTAGGACTGGAAAGGGAAGACCTGGGGTGGTGATTTAAAGGAAAAGGGTTCACAGTGGTTTGGGGGGAGCAATTCCCTGAATTCTCTGCCTGGCAAAGAGGGGCTTCAGGCTCTGATTCTGTTAGAAAACCATCACAGATCTAATTGCAAGGTCCAAATTGGATGAGGCTCTGAGTAGCTCCACAGTCTCACAGCCACAATTGCATTTGGGTTCTGTCTCTCTTCTGTCCCTCTGGCTATGGGGGCATTTATTGCATTGTCCTCTTCTGCACCTTTCCAGCAGTGATGGGCTGGTTGTGAGTTATGAGCCCACACTCCCTGTCACACACGTGGGGACAGAGATAAGCCCAGTCTGGGCACTGAACATCAGCTCTGGAGCTAAAGAAGTGCAACATTACCCACCTTGCCTGGGAATTATTTCATTCTCTTCAGCAGTGCTTCCATAAACGTCTCCATGAGCAGCACTGAACATTATTTGTTTCCAAGCACTGTGAGCTCAGCCCAGGGAGAACGAGCAGAGCTCCTGTGGCACCTGAGCTCTGCCGGGGATGTGCTCAATCCTCAGAGAAAGGAGGGAGGAGATTTTTCCCTCTCCTGACACCTGTCACCTCCTGGGATATTCCCAGGGTGTCTCCCAGCGAGGGCTGCTGTGGACAGCAGTGCCTGAGGAGCTGGCTGGTGGTGTCTGACCCCAGGAAAGAAGCTTCCCCCAGCCCAGCCCAGCCCAGCCCAGCAGAGCTGTCACTCACACGCGATGCGCACGGACGCCTTCCTGCTCTTGGAGGTGCCCAGGTGGCTCCAGGCCACGCACTGGCACCAGTAATCCTCTGGGCCATGGAAATCCTCCACCTGCTGCCTCGTGACGTTGATGAAAACCTCCCGGACCTTCAGCCCTGCGGGGAGAGAGGCACAGAGTCAGCAGGGACGGGGATCGGGCAGAGTCACCCAAAGCTTCCCTCTTAACTGGTAGGTTTCCATTTTTAATCAAGGCGAAGCTTTAATTACTCTGACAACAATATATTGCCACTAATTAAGTTCTGTAAGATGAGTAGGTATGTGAACTACCCACTGTGGTATCTGCAAGCACAGAACAACCCCCCTCAGAAACCTCCTCTCTGGTGCCTTCCTCGCCCAGAATGTTTATCTGGAGCTTCACAAGACACAATAAAACTCTTTTGATCTGACATCTCCTTGAAAACCCTTCTCAAGCACAGGTGAAGCTCAGCACTGGGGCCCTTCAGACCAGGAGCATTTGCTTCAGCCAAAGCCTGATGGTAAATTCAAGCCCTCAAGAAGCCTCCTAAACCTGACAGCTCATCTTACACACCAGGTCTGCAACCACTTCTGTGTGACAACCTTGGGAGGGGAAACATAACCCAAATCTGGGCTCAGAGGCATTAGGAATCATTTGAAAGAGTCAGAAAGACATTAAAAAAAAATAGAAAACATTCATGCCTTGTACTTCCTTCTTTTCCTCCTGTGCAGTCCCAAGACACTCATTTCCCCTTCACTGGAAATGAAGGAAAACTCGATCCTAAAGTATTTCATGCCTGTGAAGTTTATAAAGCAGCAAGAATTCTAAGCCTGAACTCCATAAAAATTGGCTTCCACTTAATCTCAGGCATCATTAACAGCTGGGCATTCACTCCTCAAAGGCACTGGGAAGTCAATGTGCTCCTCTGGCAAAGAGCAGAGATGGCAAAAAGCACTGGGGGTGCTCCAGAGAGGGGCAGGGATGGTCAGACAAGCTTAAATACCACTCAACACATACAAAAATACAAAATATTCGCCATTTTTCCAGCAACAGGCAAAGGGGATTTTTACTTCTCTTCATTTAGCCTGTTTGGCTTCACACCAACACCCAGAGACACCGACAAACCTGTGACAGCTGCCCCAGCTGCCTCAGGAATCACTTTAGTCACTCAAATATTTATTCCCCCTCTAATAAGCAAACAGAGGTTTCCGGGTTGTTTTTATTTACGTTTCGTTTTCCCCCTGTCGGTGCCGTTTTTAACAGAGCTGTTCACAAACACTCCTGTTGTTTTCTGACTGGTGACAACAAACCCTCGGGGAAACAAACCCGGCCCTTGGAAACAGCAGCTCTGCCAGAGACCCCTCCCTGCTGCCACTGCCACGAGGATGCCCCGTTTCCCCAGCCCAGCTGCCCTGCCAGGGATAAATCCCAGGATCAGAGCATTTTACAGTGATCTGGAAAGGTTTAGGGTTAGACAAGCCAGGGTGAGTTCCCCTGGAGAGCACCTGAGTGCTGGTGACCCACCCAGCAGGTGGAGGTTTGGCATCCCAGCCCCCCCCCGGGCTGTGGGACACGGAGAGACATCCATGAATGACATCCATGGCACCTCTTGCTCCCCACCTTTGGCAAATCAAACCACGAGGGATCTCAGTCAGAGCTGTGCAGCACCAGAGCCCCCAAATCCACACTGTCCAACCAGGTCACACCCCATCGACTCAAAGGCTTCAACAAGGATGAGAAGTGATGAAGTCCTTGACAAAGTGACCTTTCCAGGCTGGTCTGGCTCCACCAGGAATCACTCACCCAACACTCCAGAGCTCCATATCCCTCTGTCTCTGCAGCCTGGGTGTCTGTGCTGCCTGCAAATGCTTGGATTGATGATCTCACAGCTCTTTTCCAAGCTTAGTGATCCTGTGGCAAACACAGCTCAGCCTCTTACTGGACCCAAACATCTCCAGCCATCCTCCCACCCCACCATCAGCTGGTTCCCAGCAGGACCTCTGAGGAGCATCTTCCTGGGGATGAACTGCAGCCCTGCTGACCCCCCTGGGACCCCGAGGGCTCTGACCCCTCCACCCCTGAGCCCCTCTGGGCATTTGGGGAAGCAGCAAACAAAGGTCTGAGAGCAGGTTCCTGGTGCATCCAGGCTGACAGTGACAGAACTGCTGACACCAACCCCAAAAAGTCGTCACCCCCTGATGATGAATTTTCGAGAAGCAGGAGCCGTTTCTTGGCTCGTGGGCACTGCACATTTCTGGGCAGGCGTCAGTGAATTCAGGCATTTACAGCTCTGGATTTATTAAGGCAGAATATTCTCCTGCCCAGCTCTTCCTCTCACTGACATGGTGTTTAATTAGTCTATAAATCAGCCCACATTTAATGTGGCAAACAAACAGCACATGATTTTGGGGAGCTGGTGGATCAGCGTTTTGAGAATGGGCCAGGTAGGATTTCAGGTCTTTTTAAAGGTCTCCCAGGTTACCCATAGACAAAATAAATGCATCCAAAACAGCAGAATCTCAAAATTGTTGGGGCTGGATGGGGCCTCTGGAGAACATCGAGTCTTTGGGGAAAGTTATCTTTTGTTTATGGAGAAAGCAGAGCTATTTTCATTTGTTTTAGAAACAACTACAGAAAGCAAACCTATTGGGAGGAGAGGAATATTCTTCATTTTTCATCCCTGTGTTTCACCAGCAAACACATTCACCTCCCCTCCTGCATCTTGAGAAACACCAGAAAAATTGTTCCTGGGAAATGACACCGAATGAAAAATCCATGCAAATAAAACCAGGCACATCATAAACAAGAGCAACATTTTACCTGTGACTTGAATAACTCTAATAAGCACTGCAAGTCCAACCCTTTAAATTATTGTGCAAATTATAACCATCATCTTTTGTTTTACAGTACAGCCGTACAGAATATGAAATTATGGCTGTGGCACTGATATGCTAATGAGCTTTCTGCTCTGCTGGATGGTTTAGCTGCAGATAGACTAATGCTGGCAGCAGATGAATAATTGCTCTCCATGTACTAAACACAACAGAGCTGCAGAGAACTTCAGCATTTGTCAGCTTTATTTGTTTAAATGAGGAAAACACTGACAGCAGTTATTGCTGTAATCCTTTTAGTTATCAGACAAGAAAACTCGAGTTACTCCAGGCAGGGCTGATGCTCTGGTGAAACCAGAACTGGAGGGTTTGCAAAGGGTTTGAAGTGCATGGGCAGTGCTCAGGCAGGGAAAAGAAAGCAGGAGGAAATGAATCAAACTGCAATTATTATTCTTTTATCACGGCAGCATCTCCAAGCTCAAGCTCTCACTTGATGAGCCAGAGAAGAGAGACAGCAAAGCCCCTGCTCTGCCACGTTCAGGGAATAAACAGGGGAGGCAGATCCAGAGCAGCAAATGCACAACAGAGCCACTCAGAGCAAACCCTTCCAGACATTCCCAGGACATTCCCAGGCAGGCAGCACAAGGCACGGCCCAGAACTACAAAATCCCTTCCTCTCCTGCTGTTCCTCCCTTTCAGGTTCCCGGTGACTCCTGTGCTACCCTGAAATATTTATTTCCCCTCCCATAAAAACAAAACCATGGAAAACTGGGTTCTGTTCATCACGATGACAAACAAACCCCCCCCAGTTGTGTGTCCCCCCCCGGCCCCTGTGCAGAGCTGGGGGACATCCAGCAGGACACGGTGCCTGCAGGTCCCACTGCCAACAGCTCCTGGCAGGAGTTTACAGAGATGCCAAGACACATTTCTCTCACTCAGCGCTGAATTTCCCCTTGTTTGGGTTTCTTGCTGCTATTTTTCACCACTTCTACACCTCCCCTCAGAATCTGAGCCCCGCACAAACAGTGGAAGGGTGGGGAGGGACAGATCCTTTTGCTGCAGTGCAGCCTCCCCTCAGCGAGGCACCAGAACCCCCCTGCAACCAAAAGCACCGTTTTTGGCCCCAGTCCCAGTGCAGTTTTTCCAGATGGAGCTCACACAGCACACAGAACACTGTGTGTGCCTGGGAACAGACATGTTTATGCCCCAGATTCGACTCCAGAAAGGAGAGCACTGCCAGGACACACATTCATTCCAAAAAACCCAGGAGTCTGCTGCTCACTGAGGGCTGAGCTCCAGAATAATTCATGGCCATGGATCCATCCTGGTGAGAGAAGAGCCATGTCTGTCCCTCAGCACTGCCCTGCACGTTGCCTTTACCCCCATTTCTGTGTCCCAAGGACCGTTCAGGCAGTTTTGGGAACTCCCAGACCCTGCCCTGTCTGCACCACACTTGTTTTTAGAGACCAACCCTCCATCCCTGGGCTGAACCCAAACCTGCACCACTCCTGTGGTCTCGTAGAAGGTGTCCCTGCAGGGGTGGGAACGAGATGGGCTTTAAGGTCCTTCCAACCCAACCCATTCTGTGGTTCCCAGCCCCCCTTTGCTCAGCCTGTGCCTCCACGGCTCAAACCTCAACATTTCTGGCATCATCCAAAAAAACCCTCAGTGTTGCTTTATCTTGTTTCATTCTGTTATTAATCCAAGGCTTAGAAAACATAATTGCAGCATTCACAAGGCACATTTTCATCAGCCATATGGAAGGAAAGCTTTCAGGGACGAGATTTCTCCTCTATTGATTCAGCAGTGCCTGCAGAAGTAAAGGTTATGCCTATTAAGTTATTTCCGAAAAGGTAACTGTAAAAATTAAAATTCTTCCAGATTAGCATTTACAAAAACCTTCAGTATGAAATTTCTTCAGAATATGTCACTTAGAAAGAATGCCAAACACCACTTTGGGAGATGCATCTTCTTTTTAAGTGGCGTTTTTGCCTCTAAAAAAAGGAATTTCTTGTATTGCCAGAGAAGATGTTACACACACACACACACACACACACACACACACTCTGCTATTCCAAGGCCTGGAGTTGCCTAGCAATCCTGGAATTTCAGAAGAGGAGAAAAGCAATAACAAAACAGAATTGTGAAGTCACAGGCATTAAATTGGTTTGCAATACTTATCAAGATGCTGCTAAATGAGAAAAGATAGAGGGGAGTGATGGGACCTGATCAAACCTGATGATTGTTTCCAACCCTCTCCCTTCTCACTCTCTTCTCCTCCACACACACTTGCACTCAGAGCACTTCTGTGAGAAATAAAAATATGGGTTTTTTATATAGGCATTGTAAGATGTCCAAGTTCCAAAAACTGGACTGGAGTATCAGGGGCTTTTTCAGCCAGATAAGGTAAAAACAAAAGTTCCTAAAAATTAAACTCTTTTGGGGCCATTTTGTACACAGGGGTTCTTTTCTCTCTCTGGGCTAAGGACAAAGGAAGATCCATCACCTTTGGCAGGGGACACCTTGCAGCCGACTGGGATAAAGGGAAAACCCATTTTCAGAGAAAAGAAACCTTTTCAGGCAAAAATGAATATATTAAACTTATCTGAAAAAGGGTGGGATTTTGTGAAACTAAGAAATGTGTAAGGTTCAAACCCAAAGGGTCTTTTCCCCCGGAAATTTGATGAGGGAAAGTGTGAAGGAGCAAGAGAAATTCTTCCTTCTTTCTTTGCTCCCCGAGTTTGTGCCGTCTTTCTAAATTTGAAAGAGGGATTTTTTTTTTCCCCACAGACCCATCCCCAAGAGGAGCATCCAAACCCTCCTGGAGCTCTGGCAGCCTTGGGGCTGTGCCCACTGCCCTGGGGAGCCTGGGCAGTGCCCAACCACCCTCTGGGGGAAGAACCTTTTCCCGGGATCCAACCCGTCCCCGCCCTCACCGGTGGCCTCGTCCAGGCTCTCCTCGGACACGTGCTCGTTCTGGTGGACCCACTCCCCGTTGCACTTGAAGAAGATCTGCATGGCTGGCTTGGCCTTGCAGCGCAGCACGATGGGGTTGCTCTTGATGATGTAGGAGTCGTCGGGCTCCTCCATGAAGTGCGGGAGCGTCCCGGGGGCGGAGGGGATGGACTCCGGGAGGGCCTCGCTGTTCTCATTGCCTGCAGGGGGAGGAAAGGGAAACAGAGGGGGTTTTCACGGTTTTTTTCACCTTTTTTTCATGTTTTTCACCCCTTGTGCTGTTTCACTGATGAAACACCACTTCATGGTTTTATTTAAAACTGATTTGAAGAGGAGCCGGCAGCTGTCGGGTTGTGCTTTGAGAGGACGGACAAGCAGAGTCAAATAATTTAAGTGTGAGAACTGTCAGGAAAACGGACAGAAAAGAAGCATCAGAATCGTCAGAAACTGCACCACCACAGTGAACAGTTTTACAGTGAACAGTTTTTTCTCTGAGGCAGAGAAAGATTAAATGACTCACCCAGGGTCGCCCAGAAAGCATCTGTGGAAGAAGGAGACACTAAACCTCCCTCCCTGGAGTGACAGCCCGGAGCCTGAACTCCCAAATCTCCCTTCCTGCCACTGAATTTAATTTCCTTTCGACAGCTGCTGCAGGTTTAACGGGGATCAGTGTTAACCACAGACATGAAGAGCTCCCTGCAGCACTGGGACAACCAAGCTGCTGGTTCGTGCCCTCCCAGAGGAGATTCTCAAGGGGGTTTTACTCTGCTCCCATTGCCTGCAGCCCCTAAAGGGGATATCAAGGAGGAAAAGTGGTTTTTGTAGGGCCAGAAACCTCAAGATAGTGAGTGTTCTAAGCCTCACCTTCTGAATTGCAGGAGCCCTGGAATTCAGGCTTTTCCTTCACTAGAACTCATCAGGTCAAACCTGGGAAATTCCCACTGACTTCCAGCAGGGCTGGAATTTATCTCAGTAGTTTGTCATTCTTTTTTAGAGAAAATTCAGAGAACAGCAAAAAAAAATAAGTCAGAAGGGATTGATTTGTGATGGAAGGTTGGGAAGCACTGAACACATCCAGCCAAAGGATGAGAGAGGAGATGAAGGAACCCAGGATCAGAGAAGGGAAGAGCTGAGGGCACCAGGGATGTGACTGAACCCAAACAAGGAAATTAAGTCAGATGAGAGGGAAGTTATGAAGTGAGTCTGAAAACCTTCCCAGGTCTAGTAGATGGCAGAATAATGAGAATATCCTTTGCCTTTGTTTCCATTAAAGCCAGGTCCCTGTCCCTCAGCACTCAGCATTGCTGGGTGTGCAAACACTCTGAGGCTGTGCTGGGAAACCACAACGACTCTCAAACCAGGCCAGTGCTTTAAACCACCTTCTCAGCGTTACTTTATAAAACATTATCACAAGTTTTAGTGTTTTACCACTGAACATTTATGCCAATTTCCATCTTGTCAATCTCCGTGTCCCTGCAGGCTTTATTAAATCTGCGCTTCGGAGGAAATAACAGAAAACTGTCATTCTGAGGGTTTGGAGAGGCTTGGAAATCCCACACTGCCATCAACGCTCCGAGTGCTTCACGAGGCAGCAGCACTGGTGAGGAGGGAGAGCTGCAGACAATTCCAGCAGGATCATTCAGCTGGAGAACTCTGGATGACCCCGCGCCATTCCACTAAATTTGCTATTTAGGGCAAGACACAGAGGAAGAAATCCCAGCCCCACTGAAATTCAGGGCACAAATCTCCTCCTGGATTTAATGATCTGCCTGTTACCGGGTTGTTCTGGGCTGGGGAAGTGGCTCCTTCCCAAGGAAAACCTTTCCCATCCCGAGGTCAGTCAAGGTGCATCTTCTCAATTAAATGGAGCTCCATGAAGTGCCCTTGAAAACCAAACTGATGCAGATCCCAGCACACAGAGGGAGAAATGACTCTCTCTCCCCAACAAACAGACAGATATTACTACATTTTGCTCCAGGGTCAAGTCCTAAAACATGTAATTATGAGGCTAATACTGATGTTCCATAAATGCACATTCCCAGATAAATAACACTTCCTCCCTGGTAGCTGCTGAGCAAAGCAAAGCCTCTCCCAAAGTGCACTTAATACATGGAATTTTAACTTAATGCCTCTTCCTTTTGTGCATCATCTTTCTCATACCCCAACCTGAAAGCACCTGGAACTCTCCAAGGGCTCTGACTGCCCATCTCTGAGGGTTTTTCATGTCCAGCCCCCAGTTTTCAGCATTCAGGCCCTTCAGAGTTATAGAAAAAGGGCTGTTTGGGTGCAGCAGGCAATGACAGAAGAGCAGACCCTGAAACACAATTCTTGTGGTTTTCATTCCTGGAAAATTACCTTTCAGGAAGTGCTTTGTGCTTTATGCTCCACACACGGGGCCAGGAGGGACTTTAAATCTTTTTATGGCAATCACAGAAACAAAAAAGAAAAAGAGGGGGGGGGGAAAAATTCGGAACAAACATTAAATTCTTCTATGAAATAAATAACCTGCTGCTGTCAGACCACATTAGAAAATGTGGACAGCAGCAGACAGGGATGAGTCAGTATTTCACAACTGATTAGGGTATAATTTAAATGTTAAAGTGACATTTTAAAACAATGAAGAACTGAGTTCTGAACTTTTTTTCTTCCAAGTTAGCAATTACTTAAAATAAATAAGTAGCATTATTCTTTCCATATTAAAACAAAAAAGTAAGAAGTATCCTGAACAAACCACCTAACTCGTAATAAATATAACAATAATATTGGGCAAAGACTTTTCCCAGGTGGAAACATCCCAACCCCTCCTTTGGACAGGCCCATTTGTGAGCTGAAAAACACCCGGGGAGGACCAACATTCCAGAGCCTCACATTCTTCCCTTTCCATGGATCTGAGGCTGCTGATTCCCGTTGAACCACAACTAAATGGTGCCAAATGCCTTCTGCACGTGTGCTCAGCTTTGCAGGGAAGGGAGAATGGAAAAAAAACCCCACATTGCAGACCCCAGCATTTCCTCCTGCATGGAATGGTTTCCACAACGAAACCTGAGTCACTTTTTCAGCCAGAAAAGCAACATTTGCTCCATCAGACGCCCCTGTCCCGCAGGCAGGGGGGGTTTTTTTGGAAGTCACTCAGATACTGGTGGAAATACCACATTTTGTTGCCCACGTGAAATCCTTCAATGCCTTTGTTCCTTCCTCTGGTTCAGGGATTTGCCAAAGCCCAGGGGGACAGGGAATTCAGCAAAGGCTGCCAGCACAGGGGCAGGGGATGGGCAGGCCCAGAACACACGGGCTGGGGAGTCCCTGCAGCACCAGGGCTGGCTCCATTAATGCATTTTAAACACCTCTGCCACCCAATAATATAGTGCATTTATTTCCTAGATATCCACATGTACCCTCCAAGGAGGAACCATTTCTCCTGCTGTTAAATCCACTCGTGTTTCCAGCTCCTCCTGCCAGAAGTGCCCTTTCCCAGGGCGGTGCCTTTGGGGAAGCTGAGGAGAGATGGACCCTCCCAACCCCTCCTGCTGTGCTGGTGCAAATCTGCTGCCCTGGCTGGGCACAGGAAGCCACCCCAGCCTCAAAACCCAGCACTCACAGGAAGAAAAGGGAGCACTGGAGGGAAATGAGGATTGGGTAAAACCACAGCACCCATCGTGCTCCTCTCTGCATTTTACATCTTTGTCAGAGCCTCCTGAATTTCCAGCACAAGTGCTGCAGATCCATCTCAGCAAGCCAACCTCTGATATCAGTGTCTCTGCTTCACCAGCCCCTCTTGCTTCCCATGGATATGAAGGATAAACTTCCAGCAGCTGCACCATAATCCTTCTCATCAAATATTTGGGCGACAGGTGGAAAATTGTTCTGCCAGCTGAGGAAGACAAAATCCATCCCTCCTGGCAATTTTCTGCAATGAAAACTCCAAAAAAAAAAAAAAAATGAATGTGCAATAAGTTGTGGAAGCAAATCTGGGATATTATCACAGGAAAGCAGTGTGCTCAGAATCTTCAGCTGCAAACTCACCCTCCTTATCTGAATTTTAAAGCCTCTCACTCCTCCTGGGTGCACGGGACGAGATGTGGAGCTGGGAGCTGCCACTTGAGACTCCTGGTTCTACACCTGGGCTTTTTCCATTTGGCTTTGCTCTGGAATGCACTGGGGCTGCTTTGATCACCCTTTAGTGGGGTTTTTTTGCATGATCAGGGAAGTCTGACCCCAAATCTGGGGAGCAGGAGGGTGACAGTCCCTCAGTGCCACGCAGCACACACGGGGTCCCTCAGCCCTCCCTGAGCAGAAAAGCTGTTTGTCCCCAAAACATTCTGATTTCTTGGTTTTTTTCCCACACAAACCCTTTCTCCCTCAGCTTTTCACCAAAGAGCAGCATCAACATTATCATCCAAATGCCTCCTCTCACAAAATCCACCAGGCAAGGACCCCGGGACAGCACCAAGGTGTGGCTGTGTCTGTTGTTCCAGACCCACAGAACTCTTCCTCCCATGGGCAGGACCTCCCCAGCAAGGATTTTTATTCCAAGATGAGCAAGGCCATTCTCTCAGCCCTCATTTATTCCACCTTCCCCCCTGCACACCTTCCCTGCCCTCCTTCAGCCCCTGCTCCCAGTGCAGCACCGCTCACTGACACCTTCACTCCCGTAAAATGGAATGGAATTTAAAAGCATCACAACCTCATCCACAAATTCCAGCCTTAATTCCTCTTTGTCAACAGCAAAAGCACCTCTGCAGCTCCTTGCAGGGCTGCACTTCCAGCTCCATGGAATTCAGAACAGGAACTTGCCACCAACCACTCTGTCACTGGGCTGCAGGAGAGGAGGGCATTTATTTTCACCAATGAGGATTAATATGTTCATAAAACATTCCTGGTCTGTTCTGTGCCAACAGAGATGAATGTGTATCCTATTGTAATCCCTTATGTATTCTAAATTTATTTATATCTAAGCTATACATATTTATAAAAATGATATATTACATTTATTAAATATTAAGTGGGTTACAAACTTGAAGAATCTTTCCCACATTCATGCATTTATTTAACATCTAGATTTTTTTTTTCTTTCGGCGGTGTGCAAGCAATATAAATCTTTAAAGGGGGAAAAAAGATTCTCCAGCATTCTAAACAGATGGATCTGCAACAAAAAAAAGTTTGCCAGTGTTGTGTGAGGAGTTATCAAACTTCTCCTGCC